TGATATTGAAGATATATATAATCATGTTGATCGAATGGCTCATTGGCTGAAGAATCAAATCATTGAAAATGGTCAGCAATTATAGGAACGAATCACTTCTCTGACTTCATTTTCTTCAATAGTTGTTTCCATGTAAAACCAAACGCATAAATAATTTTATAATAATTATATAAAAGCAAGAAAACGGTTAAAGGTGTTTCAGAGATTTTTATTTACATGTTTATCTATTTATTATCTCAGGAGATGAAGCACTTGATTTAATTGATTCTTGTCAAGACAAACACCTGCATGTGCTTAATTAGATTAAGTTGTCATAAGAACTCTCTAATGTACTTAAAAAAAATATGCTAGCAATATAAAAGGTCATGAAAAATACTTACGACCTATTTTAAGAAAAAAAGTATATTTCCAAATTACCTAGAGTCACTTATATATGTAGTTATGTTTGCATAAGCAGATTAAGACAATTATGATGGAGTCATAAAATCTCATAGTTAAGAAGAGCTTACAATACAATTAATCATTGGCACCCTTAAAAAGCTTTGACCTTTTATTGAGGTAATACTGAATTTGATAAAGACAATAATTTATTTGACTTAAAAAGATAACTTTAATTTATCCCAAGAGTAGGAGTAAAACTGGAGTAGAGATTATAGGTTTATAATTTATTTATTTTTTAATACAATGGTGGCACTGGAATTTTAATTTATGATGTCATGTAAACTATTCAAATTTCTCACCATTAAGTCAATACTAACATTTTATAGGTTTATTTTTTTTTAAATTAATAAAACTATTGTAATTAAATATAAACATGGCAATCATTTATTTCAATTTTTTATTTCTTGGTAAATTTTTTTTTTTTTCAAAATTTAAACATGAGATAAGGTAATTGTTGAATCATATTAGTATCGGAGGGGTTAATCTTGACGCAATAGTTATGGGAATACTTTGAATAAAAAAGTTCATAAATTATAAAGTTCATACTTTTGTCATTTTTATAATTAAGATTTTTTTTCTTGTTAAAAATAGACAAGAAAAAAAATACCAAGCTTAAAACTTTATACTTTATAGTGTACAGAGAAAGGTACAGGGTCAAACACATCATAGGCTCGCATACATGACAGAAAATAAAATGTGTACAAGTTTGGAGTGGTTGCATTACAGTTGCAGTGACGAAAAAAGCATTGTTGCAGAATGAAAAAGAAGTCAGAAAAATGCAAAAATTTCAACAACAATCGCAGCTAACAAAGTACGAATACAGTAACTACAAATTGCAATTTGGCAGACATGACTTAAATAATAATTGCACTTCGTACTACTATCTTCAAAACAGAAGACGTACGTATGGTAAATGCCACACTGAAGTTTGCGCATCGATAATTCATTCATCTTACGATACGTAATCGAAATTTTAAAAATTTGTATAGAATCCGCCTATATATTCTAAAATAAAAATATATCAGCTGCACCGAAAAATTGTTCTATAAATACTTAATATGCAATAAAGAAACATAATTCTTTAATGAGTTTTTTTTTAATAGATATATTTTAATTAAATACATTTTTTTTAAGAATTTATGAAATTTTTTCATTTTTTCCCTTATGACATCCTAAAAAAAAAATATATAAAAACAATATGACATTATTATAAAGGAAAGGATCCATTTACATTTTTTTTTTACAAATTACACTAAGTATGACCAGTCATACACTCTTGATTGAAATATGATCGATCATACTTAGTGTAATTTGTAAACAAAATTTTTATAAATATAACATTTTTCTTATTATATTTATAAAAAAAAAAATATCAATTAAAAAATAAATAAATAAATAAATCAAACACTACTTAACGAAGAAGACAACAAAAATTTCCCAACCTTAATCACTACTATTTTTTTCCGTCCTTCTATTATTCTATTCCATCACTATTTTTCATCAAACTTGTGAGAAACCATATCGGAAACTTTATGGCATCTTCAATACTACTTTTGCAGCGATCAACACAACCTCCTCAACTGCATTAATCAACAGAAGAACACCAACCAGCAGGCGCAGTATATTGTCAATTGATTAAAGGATCAATAAAAATAACCTTTAACCAGCTTCCAAAAAACTATTACAGACACGACATAAGATAATTATAATGTCTCATTGTGGGACATTTTAGGCAGCAAGCATGTTACTACAGTAACTAATACTGTAGTTTGCTGGGCCTTCAGTTAGAAAAGAGAACAGTAAAATTAAGGGGGGCTGAAGAACAGAATCCAACAGTGTATGGTCAAATGTCCAGAAGGGGGGGCCCAAATTGACCCACTTGGACCCCAAGTCATCAATACTAATGCAAAACAAATGGCAAATCTGATCAACCGCTTTTTTACCTTTACATCAAATTAAGATTAAGATGACAATTCAGGCCAGTACTTAAACCAGTAATCATTCATTTCACTTTGATTGGTAGATACAAAAAATCCAAACCTTCAAATTGGTTTCATCCACTACAACAATATAATTAAAATGAATTTAATCTTCACAGAAACCTATGCTTTGCAATCCATTATTACATCGCAGTAACATTGATACAATGTCAATAAAGAAGCATTTGGTAATTATCATTAAGAGAATTCTAGCATCAATTTCTTTTTTCATATAATACAAAAAAAAAGGACATGGAAAAAACTTACCTCCACAACTGAGACTGAATAGCAAAGAGCCATTTGTTCATAATTTTGGAAATTATAACATTTGGAATCAATTTGCTTCAATGACAGACAAAAAAAAAAAAAACTACGTATGTCCAATATATATCTACAACAGGCATGACACTTGACACCCGAAATTAGAGAGGGGAGTTCCACAGAGCAATGTTAAGACGTCAAACTCCTAAAGTAACAAATGTTGTGATAAGCGCAGAGAAGCTTAGAAGACATTTCATACTCAGCTTCAGATAGATACCAAAACTGTTCAATCTTAACATAATACTAACATAATAGTCAATTTAGGAAGCAGAACAATGAACAATGATATACTTTGCAAGTACTACCAACAAGCAGAATGCAGAAGCATTTAAGCCACGCAAAAAATGTCATACTTATAGCTTTAGTTTGTGATCGAAGGATTATTAGATCAAAGAAACTGAAAGTAACCAGAAATTGCCTTCGGTATTTTTTAGTATCTTTCATCTATGTAAGAGTTGCTCCATCATAGTTTACTTTTATTTTTTTCTTTCAATTCCTTATGTTTCCCCCTTGAGAAGGGAGAGAGGGGACAAGTCATGCATCTTATTGTTATATGAATTTGCATTTTATTTTCAATGGGCAATTTTTCTATGAAGAAGAATTTTATCTACAACATAAAAAGAGGATGATGCTCCAAACTCCTGCACTTTAGGATGTTTCCAAAAATTTTCTTTAATGAGGGACAATCAATAAACAGGGCAAGAAAGAGAGACTATCAAATAGAAGATAGAAGATAAAAGATGAAAGAAAAGCAGATAAGAAATTTTTTCCTTCAAATTATCAAATAACATTTCTAATTCACAAATGAAAAACCTAGTTCTATATATATATATGACCCTCACCAGTCACCACTATAAGACATGTAGTTAGCTTGATGTTATTTTTCTTTGAAATTTCCAAAGTAAGTTCAGGTTCACAGGAATCTGAAGCTTGCATGTCTTGGTACAAAATTTCCAATTATTGTCTTTAGGGTCTTCTCATTTTTAAAGCCACGGTTTTGGTGATCAGTGTTAGTTCTGCAAATCCTGCAACAGATATACAGGTTTAATGTTAATTTTGCTATATTATTTTATCAGGTATTTCTTTGATGAAGAAACCAATATTTCCCATCCTATCTTAGGAGAGAAAATAACGAGTTTACAAGGGAAGTAAAGAAAATCAGAAAACATAAGGCAGACATTTCAGGAAAATAAGAAAATAATCAACGATGCTGAAAAGACAAGAAGCTAAAAAATGATACTAGAAAAATATTCAGGTTTACTAGTTAGGGACAGAACAACTATAACTCGGAAATTAGGAAGCCATCTTAAGCACAGAACAACTATAGTCTATAACTATTCCAAAAGGAGGAGAGAAAAGCCACAGGAAATTAGGGACATGACCAAAACACATTTATTCGGCACAACAAAGAATTCAACTAGCATCTATAGTTGATATCACAGATCCAAACTGAAAGTAATCCACAAATAAAAAAGCACTGGTCATTTGTGCTTGTACCACACTTTTCGCACTTGCTACCAAGCACCAGAAGTTAATATCCATCAGACAAGCTTGTTGCATCACTATGCCATAGCTCTTATCCTACAGGCATGAAGCAATGCCTTCCACTAATACAAATACCAGAGGAAGAAAAACAATACTAATTGGTGCTTGAGTGCATCTCATAATGCAATAGGTACGTATCCTGCATTATGCTGTTGAAATTGATGAATTGTATTTGTATATAGCAAATACTAAATTAATGTTACAGAAGAGGTGATAATATTTAAGTAGCGAGTGCTTTAAGTTGTGTTCATAAAGAAACTGAATAAGAATATGTCAAATAGGTCCAGGAAAAAACATTTCAAACTAAATTTAATTGTGCAGTGGTACACGATATTTTCATCCAATTAACTAGCATCCATTTACCAAAAAAAAAAACCAAGCATCCATCCTCGAATTCATATTTAGGTATCGGCCAGATAAAAGGTCTAAAACAAAGTATGAAGTAGGGTTGTTAAATATTTAACTAAAAACCAAAAGTTCCAACTGCAAAGCAGCAGGAATAAGCACTATAACAGCAAAAGCAGAGTGTTTAACATTATTCAACTAATTGAAGCTAATAAAGCAACTATGAATAAATTTCATGTTGATTCGATCTCAAACCTGGCATAAATTTTTGGGCACACAAAATGTGGCCCAATATAGCAAGAGAACTAATAGTCTAGATAGAGTAAATAACTCACTATTGAAGAAAATAATGAAAATAAGCAACTGGATATGTTCAACTCAAAATCTACTTACTGAAATGGTAACACAAGCAAAAGAACAAAATTTAATAGATTGAAGAATTTCCACTAGCCTTAGACCAGAAGTTTTCATAGATAGCCCTGGCAATTGGAAGAATCGCAAGAAGGGCAATCTGAAGTTGGTCTGAACTACTTGTTCTCACAGAGATCTGTCCACTGAGCTTGTTGTTCAATCCAGCACGAACAGCCATCTTATAAGTTCGTCCAATACAAAAATGGGAATCAAAATTGGCCCCTAAAGCCAATTCCCCTCTCCACTTCACCAGAGAAAGACCCAATGAAGACTGGTCCTGACCAATTGGAAAATCTGCCTCTCTAAACCGCACTTCTACATTGGTGCCATAAGCAGACTCTCCTTTACACCCCACAATCGAAGAGCTGCCCAGTAATACCAAGCGTTTCCCCAGAGCTATCTGATCCTCAACTTTCAGCCCAGTGGATACATTTTCACCCAAAAATGTCACAGATACACCAGCACCAGTTTTATTCCTTTTGAAATTTTTGAATTTTGTCTCAGCCCTAAGAATGTAAGCTAGCTGCTTTCCAATGTTTTTTATGTCAAAGCCAGCCATGCTTGATCCATTCTCTCCATGTTTCCCAGAAACTGAGGAATCCAAGTGGACACTGAAGTCTTTCTTATCCTTTGTGATCTGAACAGCAATAGCTGCTGGGAATTTATTGATAATGGCAAGACTGTGTTCAAGGTTTACACCATCGTAACCACAATCATGGTCCCAACTATGGGTGTCTAACACTGGCCTTGTCAGGAACTGGGAAGTTGGCTCTAAAAAACGGTATCTATAGGCTGGATTATCACTGTCAAAGGATGGTGGCAGGGTCATATCAGGCAATGGAACTGGCACAGCAGCTGGACTACCATTTTCTTGTTCGTCTTCTTCTTCAATGTAACCATAATTGTTTCCATCAGTCTTGCCTTTTTTCTTCATCTCTCTCATCCTTCTTAACTCCTCTTTCCACAGCTTCTTCTGTAGAAGTTTGACCCGATAATCATATTCCTCAAAGTATGCTTTTCGCTGTTCTCTACTAAGCTTAGCAACCTGAGATTTCTTAAGAGGCTTAAATGGCAGGAGCTGGTCATATTCATCTTCATCTTCATCTAAATCAGAATCAGATAAGTCAGCCAACTCAATATCAGAATCCCCATTGTCAACACCACCTTGATCAGCAGGGAGTTTTGGATGGCTACGTGACTGCAATAACCAAGATAAAAAGTATGGAAGTGGTGGGGAGCGGACACGAAAACCAAACAGGTTGTGGTGGTCAAGTGATTCTTGAGTTTTTGAAAGGTTACTGGCTTCAGAGAGAATCTTCATCGAGTAGCATAAGAGCAACAAGAGGGGTCTCCAACTTTGACCATTAGGAAGCACTTTCTGGCCATCTCTATTTTTTCGACAAGAAGGATGGTTTTCAGCAAGAGAAACTGGATTCATAAAAGTTGGATTCATAAGACGCAGGTCCCCAACAGCTTGTCCAATGGTTTGTTGAACTATATGAGTTCTTTGAGCCACAAATACATCATAACTCAATGGGGAACCTGATGGCCCATCTGGGGGGGCAGTGGCAGCATGAGTCAGAACAACTACAGCATTTTGCCATATTGATGGACCAAGGACATTAGAAATTGATCTTAACAGTGGTAGATCATTGAGATCCTTATTTTGTGTGTCCAAACGATCCACATAGAGGACAATATCAGGAGGGGATTTATTTGTTAACTTCTTAACCATAGATAAGACTTTTCTATTGAAACTTTGTTCCATTGCTGATGACTTCAGACCTGGTGTGTCAAAAATCCTTATCTTAACTCCATCAACCATCCCAACAATTTCTGTCACAGAAGTTGTGGCAGGACCATATGCACCAATGCTGGCCTTATTTTCACCAAAAATTGAATTTATTGTAGCACTCTTGCCCACACCTGTCTTCCCAAGAACCAGTATATTTAAAGAAAAATTCAAATCATCTCTTCCTTCTGCCTCAAGCTGGCTAGCACTCTCCTTTGCAGCATCTAGGCTAAATATTTGACCAGTTTGCCTCCCAGCAACAAGCGTCAACCGGTACAGAACCTGAACTGCTATTGATTCTTCAGGAGTAAAACCAAGCCTCCGAGCTAGTCTTAAGAACTTAATCCTGATTTGCTGCAATTTCTCCAATTTCCTCTTTTCTTCTTCACTCAACTGGATATCAGAATTGGTACCAGCTCCGACTGTACTAATGGAAGAACTGAAAAGATTATCATGATTTGAGTCGATGGCAGGTTTACCGGTTCGAAATAACGGTCCCAAACCGGCCGGGCGCTCAACAGAGAAAAGCCTTGATCCATCTTGAGAGGTTATGGTGATACTGCCACCATCTTCTCCAGCTACTGTTGCTCCTTTCAAAAGAGCAGCCAAGGCAGCAGTATCAAACAGCTTCTTACCATCTCCTTCATCATCAGTGTCCTCCGAGTCAGTCACAATCTGACCATCAATTCTCTGAGAGAGATCATGTGAACCATAAGCACCAATGCCTGATTGCTGTTCATGTTCAAGCTCCTCCAAGAACCGCTTTGCAGCTTCAGAGCTTCCAAATATCACTTCTTCACCCTCTTCCTCATCTGACACTGAACCATTAATCTCTGTGTTACCAGGATAATGTTCTTCCCCTTCATCAGCATGAGTCTCTATTTTTATTTCATCTTGCACGGCCTTTACAGTGTCCCTTGGAAATTCTAAAATCTCTTCATCCTTCTCCAAAACAGCAATGTCAACCCCCTTTCCACAGTAATTATCATCAAAAGCTTCTCCTTCAGAAGCATTTTGTTCAATAGGGTCAAACTCATCATCCAACCCTTTAGTTTCAGAGTCATGAAATTCGTCCATGTCTCCACCACCTGAATAATTGGCATCACAATTAACAACAGAATCATCACAACAATCAAAAACCAAATTAGTTTCATTGAGCAGTAAAGGTGTTACCTATTGTGTCCAATTCAACTTCAACTTCATTCAGGATTGCATCCCCATTGGCCTCTACAAATTCCTCTTTATGTTCACCATCATCACCGTTTAGCTCCATTTTCGTGGCGTCCCTCAAAACGACGCCGTCTGAGACTCCGTTGTCGTTGTTGTTATCATCAACATATCCCTCGGCAATTGGGGTGTCAGAAGAATTCAGAAAAGGGGTATCGCTTTCGGTGGAATTTTCATCTGGGTATGAATGAATGGGCATATCCGGCGCCGTTTCGAAGTGTTCGGAGACATTTGGAATAACGTGGGTGTGTTGGTGTTGTTGTTGTTGTTGTTGTTGTTGTTGTTGTGCATCAGCATCAGCATCAGCATCAGCAGTAGAATTATGAGAAAGTGATTGGTTTGAAGGGGAAAAGGGACATTGTGGGTCAGAGACAGAGTCCATTGAAGAGATAAGCTACCAAAGGGAATGGTAATGCAAATGTTGTGTGTTTCAGCGGCACGAGGGGTTTAGGAACCAAAGCTGCTTGGGGTTTGGTTTTTTCAAGAGAGGGATATTCTTATTATAAAATAAATTTACTCCCAATTGTCTATTTAATTATTATTGGATCATTATTTTTTTTCTTTTCAAAAATTTTAAAAACATTTTCTTTCTAATTCAACGGTGATTAGATAAGGAACGAGTTGGTAATAGAATTCTTTGATATTAAAATTAGGGATTATAACAATTATGTTATAGGAACAACATTCCTATCATGCAAGACTACCGACAAAATAAAATTTGTCTCTTTTAATTTTTTATTATTATTTTACTTGTCGTTTTCTGTTGTAGGAAAAAAATTTTGCTGCAACAGGATCAGACGAAAGCCCTTAAAATTATGGCTTTAATGTTTCTAAAGTGAATGTAGATAAGTTATCTACATTCGCTGCTAAAACTACGTTGTTTTGAGTTGAAAAATTAAAAAATTATAATGAAAAAGACTATTATAACCCTAAAATAAATTATAATAACAAAAATACCTTGATTTCCGCCTCAAAACGACGTCATTTTGGGCTCAATATAGATAAGTTATCTACATTGACTGCGTGTCAGAACATGTCGAAGCATTGACCACGTGTCAAAACGTGTCGGAGTCCGTCACATGTCCAACATGCATCTTTTAAAAGAAATCGCATGTCCGTGCTTTGTTGATCACTATATCAAACTTTTCAACAAAAAATGATTGAAGAGAAAAAAAAATTGCTGAAAAGTTTGATCAAACATTGATTAAAGTGATAGTGGATTGATAATAAAAAAAGTAGTAATATGAATATTTTACCTCATATAATAATAGGGAAAAGTATTTCTCCAGTTACTGGAGATAAAGTTATCTTCAGTGAGCTCAAAACAACGTCGTTTAGGAATTATAAGATTAAAATATTATAATGATAAAGACTAATATAACCCTGTAATATATTAAAATTAAAAAAATACAATTATTTTCACCCCAAAACGATGTCATTTGGAGCTCACTGGAAATAATTTATCTTCATTGACTGGAGAAATCATTTACCCATAATAATATCTACATAACAGTGTTTGTATATTTAAAAGATTTTGTTTGTTTTTTTCTTTCTAAAACTACTTTTCCGTTAAAGTTAAAAATAAGAGTTTAAAAAATAAAGTTATAAATTATTTAATAATTATATAAAGTTGCTCTTAGAGTTTTGAAGGGAGAGAAATAAAATAATATTTATTAGGATAAATGATAAAAATTATAAAAATAAATAAATTAAAATAAGGGTATAATTGGAAAATAATTGTAAAAACTCCAAAAAAGTTGACATACATCTTAAAAAAAACTAACTTTAACTTTTTCCTTTATTTCCCTTATAAAAAAGGAAAATATATTTCTCATGTTGTATGAAATAAATTTTCTCATGCACAAAAGTGGGTGGGACCCACTTTTTTCTTTGAATCCCACCAACTTTTTGTGTGTATTGTATGAGATAATTTATCTAATACAACATGAGAAACATATTCCCCTAAAAAAAGTCTTTTATAATAGGGATTTATATGAATAATATTGTAGGAAAGTTATTCTATCATGTAATGTGGGGCCTACTGATTTTTGAAAAAAAAAAAAAAGTAAAACAGTAAAGTTGTTGGCTCTGCTGGAAGGAATGATTTTGTCCTGCAACATGACATAATCGTTCCACTTTATAACAAGAGTTTTTTGTAAAATTATGTTAGACTAAACTTCTATTTATAAAAATAAAAAAACCCTAAAAATAACAGCTTACAAACTCCAAAAAACTATTTTTTTTTTAATACTAAAATAACATCGTTTTGATTAGGGTTGGAAAAAATGGTCAACTCGGCTTGTAACATCCCGTATATATCCAGTTTGTTATCATATCATCGTATTAAGCGGCGCTTAATTTAAAATACGAAATATCTTTTTCTTTTCAATTATGACGTCATTATTCATTACCAACTTGATTACTTAAATCATTTTCCAAAACATCGCCTGCATGTAAATTGCAAAAGACAGCTAACTGAAATACCTCATATAATGAATAACATAATTATGTCTCTAGTCACGGAACAACAACACGTAAACCGGACAACCCTGATAGTTTATACAACTCAAGCTAAAAGGTACTAATATCAAAGCGGCATGGACAAACCCCATGCTCACCAAACAAGGCAGCAAGTCCAAAAAGAGTCTCAACTCAAATATCAATATAAAGACAGAAAACATAAACAGCATTCAATATCCAGTCATGCCTGCATACAGTATATATAATCAGTTAAGCTCCGGCCTCCTGCCGCAAGAGGCATCAGCCCCCAAATTACCTAAACCTGAAATAAACGTCCCCAAACGTGGGGTGAGGTCTCTAAACAAGAAATCTCAGTAAGGCAAGAGGTCCTCAAGGATCTTCCACCCCAAGCTCACTTACATGTGCAATAAAAGTTCCAAAAACAGTTCAACAGTATAAGTTTGAAAATATTGCAATGCAGCAGATAGTCATGTCATGTGTGTTATAGCTAATCTACTGGCCAGAGAGATGCAAGAATACGTCTATTACCCACACTAATGCAAGACGCCACTTGCACCCACCCACAGTGTCACCGTCTTGTATGACGCCACATACTCAGGCTAACTGTCTAAGTGGAACAACACATACATATTATAAGCAATTGCACATAAAGCTCAACAGTGTTTTCAATTATCAAAGCATGTAAACACAGTATGCGTATAAACCATTCCCCCATGGGGTATGGTGGAACCACACAATTGCTAAATCGAGAACACGAAAGCTTACCTCTTAAGCAATCAATCCAAGCCAAGTCCACACAAGCTCAAATGTCCAAACACAGCAGAATCACAATCTGTTTCGGACCAATAACAATATCAATATTCATACTCAACAAGCATACGATATAAAGACAATGTCTTTCCTTTGCGTTCCAAGTCTTAAGGCTTCTCACAAAGCCACAAGCCCTTAAATCGCTTGATTATGACTTAGTTCAATTATTACAAGGTTCAACTTAACCAATCTAGGGTCCACAAACCCCAAACATCATTATGTATGAACAGTGCAGCTATTGTTCTTCGAAAACCCAGAATATCCGGATATTCGTCGGGGGCATATCCGGATATTTCTAACCCAATATCCGGATATTTCGCGGCAGAACTCAGATTCTGCATTTCGCGAGATATCAATCCAAAGGTTCCATTTTTACTGATTACAGAAGCTTAAACATGCATTTCTAGGTGTGTTTAACCTTACTCAACCTTAAGTTATGATCTCTAGCTTGTTACATGCATCAAGGTTCCATTTTTTACTAAGAAAACTCAAGAACAAGAGTGATGATCATACCACAAGCTCAAAACAGAGGTGGATGATGCTCTTTGAGCTCTCATAACAGCTCCACAGGTCAGACCTCCAATGAACACGAAAATGGTGATCAAAGTTGGTCCTTTCACCACCAAGATGGCTCCTTCAAGCCCAAAATGCTAAGACCAAAGCTCCCTCCAAGAGAACCAAGGACTCAGCCAACACAACCCCTCAAACTCAGAACTTAAACCCAGAAATGGAGTCTCCTAGTCACTCCCAAGGCAAGTCCTCACCCACTCAAGGTGTTTTGGAGAAGGGAAAGGTAGAAGAATGGCACCTTAGGCTCACAAAATGAAGAAGAATGCAATGGAACAGTGCAAAAAGGCTGGTCAGCTCCCCAAGGTCACGTAGCAAAAGGAAATGCCTAGGGTTTTGTGCAAAAGTTGTATTTATAGTCGGTTTAAGCTTAATCGCACTGTATTAGCGCTAATTTCTACGCTTAGCATTTTAATCTCAAACTTAGGATTTCGAACCTACTCATTTTTCTAAGATTTATCATATTTTTATTTTATTTTTCGCAGCACCTTTCTGGTACGCGCTTTTCCATAGTCAGTATCATTTCTGGTACCAATTCTCATTATTTTAACTTGAAACTTGTTTTACAAGTTCTATATATTATTCTAGTGACATATACACACTTTTTATAATTTTCCGGGATACTTCATCGGTGCGCATTTATACAGAGTAGTAGAACCGATATCTGCGCTTTTCGTCAGAAAAACGACTTTCAGCATTATTAATTACTTACCATAATTATTAAAGCCTTATAATAATTATTATGGTCAATTATGGAATTATTTTCTAATTTCACATAATTAATTAATTAACGGTGCGAGTTCTTACACGGCCCAAACTATTTGCAACCCGAAAAAAACAAGGCGGGTTGAGATTGGCTCGAAACAAAAAAAAAGAGCTAGAAAACCCAACCTGAGTCAGGTTAGGGTTGGCTCGAAAAAATTGTGGGGAGGGGGGATAACCTTTGTCACACTCATCTGGTGCATATAGTGAGGAAGCTAAGGAAATGATTTTTATTTGATATAAGATATTTACTCAAAGAAAAACACTTGATATAAGATATTTACTCAAAGAAAAACACTTGATATAAGATATTTAGTTGTAGAGTGTAATTAAATCAACAAGTTACAAGATCAAAACAACAACTCAAAATACATCACAAAAAGTTCCAATACTTCTTTAAAAGTTTCCAAACATAACATTCCAAGTCCAACAAGACATATTGCTAAACCAAATCAAGTTTCATGAGCATTAGATAATGCTAAACAT